TTAGGAACAACTCAATATAGCGATGCTCTGTGGAGAAAGAATATATTAGTAATTTAGTTTCACTGTTCTTCTCCTGTTTAATAAAACAAATCATTTAGATTTTTCCACATTTTCATAATACAAATATTTTAATCAATATGAGAATACTTTGTGTGTCTGTATTCTGACTCTCTTTAAGAAAGGTATTTCCTGATCATCTAATTCTCAGAAGGTTTAGTTTGTTCTCATAGTCATCTGACAAACCCAAAGCTGCTTATCTGTGAGCATGTGAATATCCTCACCTCTGTTATCAACTTCAAAGTTTTCTTGTGTCATGAACTTTGTGTTAATGGCATGAAAAAGTGGTGTCACGCGTACAACACAAGGACGGACAAGTAAAAAAGGAAAAAAGAGGACATACGCATGTGGTTCTTGTCTTTGGACATGGCTGCCACAGCGTCTTCATGGGAGCGAAATTCCACATCTGCTTCTCCTGTTGACTTGCCGTTAGGAGCCACGTCGATGTGGACCCTCAGTGGATTCAAAGGAGAGAAGAACTACACAAAGAGATCCAACAAATCATCACAGGGTTATACACATGAAGAGGCCGATCATTGCAAACTATCACGTTTTACAACCTTTAACCTCACCTCAAGTTATTACTTTACTTGATAAGTTCCTTTCTACTGCAGCGAGCACAAGTGACTTGTTTTTCTCTTCCTGTCAGATAAAGATGCATGCACAGCTTCCTGCATCACAATCTACTGTCAATAATTATAAAAACAAACAATATATATATATACAATATTTAAAATCAGCTTTAGTACTTCCTAAGGTCTTGTTTTTTATGTCAGCCCCTGCAGTTATCCTGAAGAGAGCCATTTTTCAAAATAAATTATTTATGTAACCGATGTCAGTGTTTTTGTGTGTTAGAGTTCTTACTTTAGCAACGTCTCCCTCTGTGGCGCGGAAAGGTAACCCTCTCATATGGACAAATGGCCGCTATGGAACCCTGAACAGCCATCGGCTTGACCACTGTAACCTTGGCTGGCCATGCCTGAGCACAAACACATCGACACATCAACTCATTTAGTCATGAAGGAGAGAAGTCATCTTTCACAAGCAAATAAAAATGTTTGGACAAACTTCTCAGAGGCTTTAAGAAGATTTCTCAATGTTTTACAAAACTACATTTTACCTTGTTTTTATTATGGACAACAATGTAAAACTTCAAATGTTTAGATGAGGATTTTGAGCGTTAAAAATGGAAACAAAATGATCATTCTTTGAAGCTGGGATGTTGCTAAGCTGATTAATGAATAAACACAGGCTTTCAAACATTAACTCAGCTCATGACTTAATCAAAGGCTAAAGAGTAAATCATTATTGGACTTTACCTCGTCCTCCCCTTTCGCCTCTCACTCGCTCATCAAACATGCCGTTTCCAAAACAGTAGTTGTTGAAACCATTGTAGCCGTCAAAGCCACCATAACCTACAGACAGACAACAGAACAGCATTAGAGTCAAAATCAAACAGTAATGTAACCCCTAAAAAACTCAAATACAGTTGAAACACTTTTTAAATCATTGACGGCTCCAAACAGAGAAGCAGGACTGAAAAACTGTTCAACAGGAGAGTAAAACTGGCCTCAATGTGGATGGGTTGACAGTAATTACACCTGTCGGGTTTTCCATACATCCACCAGCATGTTTTTGATTCACTTTTTTTTTGTTTAATATCTCAGATGGCCCTTTTTTTTTTTAATCAAAGAAATCAATATGAAACTCGAACAGGGCAGAAATAAACAAATACATCGTAAAAACATTCCATCCTCAGGAAATACACATTTATGCAAACTCAACTGTTAACAAGTGAGAGATTTAAGATGCTCTTATGAGAAACTTAATGTACAAATTTATCTGCCGATTGAAGGATTCTCAGAATTCCATCATCATGCTGTTGACTAATCCCAGTCATAGTTCTGTACGATACCAGTCATCCTTGTGGCGACACTGGTACAGTTGTCTTATATAATATTGGTGATGTTTTGTCTGTCTGTATGTGTATTTACCTTGTGTTTTTATTTGGATGTTTTTTATGTCTTCTAATGGACTCCTGAGTCTGGCAATAAAGATGATGATGATGATGTTGAAAGCCCTATACCTACAATACAGTATCCATACTCTTCAGCATATGAAAGAAGATGTACTCAAACCATTCAGTCATTCTGGTGATTTCAGTGGAGTAGAAAACCATGAGGTCAAAGATGCACCTTAATAGATCGTGTGGGTTAGCACACTACTTACTTTGACACATACGTTCATGGTTTGTGGCTGGCCCATTTTATTGAGCACTAATATGTGAATAGTTGAAAACTTGCTAAGGCCTGAATTGTGACACATGGCACAAAACTAATGAGTTACAATTACTATGAGTTGCATGTCCTCATCTCCCATTAAAATGACACGTCCCGTGTTTGAGCACATGATTCAAGAGACGACATTTAGGATATATGCTCCAGAACGCAGACATACCTTGTAGGTTTTGGTGGCGGAGTATCTGTCTTCTTCTTCATCTGACCTGCTTCTCCAAGGTCGGCAGGGGCAGCTGGAGTGACCAGTTCATCAATACTCCGCTCTATTGAATCCTGGATGGTGACATTGCACACAGACAGACAGGATGGGTGCAAAACCGTGTAGTCCCGTACCCTTCCACCACCCCTGCCCACAGGCTTAGCTGCAGGCTTAGCTGCTGGTTTAGCATTGACAGCAGTACTACTTGCTCCAGCAGAAAGGACACTCTTGGGTTTATCTTGGGCATTTTCTGTGGGCTGGTTGCTGTTGCTTTCCGCCTGTTCAGAAGACATCGTGTTAGACTTGCTGGGCCGCAGGTACTTCTTGCAGTTTGAGGCTCTTAAGGTAAATGGGGAGGGGGGAATGTTGTCCACTTGTTCTGGTGGAGGCTCTTGCTCAACACTTCTCATCTCTTCTGATGGTAGTCTGTCATATGAGGAAGCGGTTTGGAAGTCTCTGCTTCCACCTGGTTCATCAGTGGCCAATTTAAGAGTAGTGTCTTTATTAAAAGAGGAGTAAATGGGCCTCTGAGACACGGCGAAGCTGTGATCCTTTGAGGGGACTGTGTTAGACAAAGAGTCCATGAATGCAGGTTTTTGGTTGCTATCTGATGAACTTTTGTAACAGGACTGGTTATTGTTGACAGCCTTCACTTCAGTTGTTTGCTTGCCTGTGAATAAAAAAATATTTAAGATGATCAAATATATCAGCTGCAACAAAATAGCTAGCAGACCATCAATGAAATAAAATGTAGAGACAAATACTGAAAAGGAAGGTAAGCTTTGGGTAGTAAATTGTCTGTTCTGACATCAGATAAATAGACGTGCACAGTCAATATTGATTACTTACTTGTGAACATGGCTACTGAGCTAGCAGATCCCCGTGCAGAAGAAACAACTGCCCCGCCAGCCTGCACTGCGGTCATTTTTTTCACATCCCCGTCATTGACTTGTGACTGGGACACACTGAGAGAGGTCTCAGTCTTGGCCTCGTCATCACTGTCAAACCCAAACGGGTCTTCTTCATTGTCACTGTCTTCAAGCCTGGGTCTTTTCAGCAAGTCAGACGTGTCAGGTTTTAAAAGAGGCCTTTTGGCCCCCAGTTTGGCCTTGTAGGTGGTCTCCCCCCATTTGGTGGTCAATGTGGGTTTTTTATTGGAAAAGACCTCTTCAAATTTCGAGTTAGCCTCCCCTCCCTTGCGGTTGTATGTTTTACCAAATCTGGATGTCATGATGGTTGCTATATGTTACATATTCCCTGTGGAAAGAGGCAGAAACGAGTCAACATAACACACACACACACACACAGGTTAAGTAAACACATGTCACTGTTCAGCAGACTGCAGAATTTTTTTTTTTGCAGTAATGTTAAATGTGACGCAGCAAAAAGAGAGGACTCGTTTCCTCAACAATCTGTAGGAAAAAAAAAAAAAGGCTGGATTAATTAACCTGATGGTGGCTCACAAGTCATGTGTCAACTACCTGGTGGGAAGCATACAAAACGATCACGGCTAGCTCGCTAGTTTTTAAAAAACATCGTCGTCGGTCGCATGTGATTAATAAAATACGAAGCAAATGCGATTTAAATGAGGTATAGAATAAATCAGCGTTGGACACGTAACCAAAATTAATTCAAGCAGGTAAGTTAACTAAACTACGATGATTAACCCCAGCTAGGCCTTCTCCTGTTACTAAAGTTCCTGTAAAGTTAGCAATTAGCACTTAGCCTCCACACTGAGCTAACATTAGTCCCAATGTTTACATTTCACACCCGACTGGATACAAGGCTGATTTTTTTTCTTCTTCATTTAATTCGTATTATATATTTCAAACATGTGCATTGCAATATAGAGTTGCTGCATTAACAATTTTTGTTTTAGTTAAAGACCAAGAAGAACAAACTGTTACCTTTCAACTCCGGCGCCTAGCTAAACGTCCGCTTGTTTGTTAGCCAGCCGGCTAGGCCTGAGCTCACAGCCGCGCACAAACCAAGCGGGTAAAGTCCGCGAAGCGCTGCAGAAAAGGCGCTACGAACACACCTGCACACGTAATACACCTCCAGAACAATAAACCTCACAGCAGAGGAGTAACCAAGAAGCTTCCGTGGCTATTGCAGTCTAAATACAGTGGATAATCTGGACTTTTAGTATTCTGTAGTGCTACTGGCGGCCATTAAAATATCCCCTCCCTCCGCGCTCCTTGCCAAGACCCCTTGTAGTCTGCTGCGAGAGGGGGAACCAGCCAATCAGCTACGGGGAGGTTTCTCTGCGCTTTCAGAGCGTGTCAGCAAACGTGACTCTGATTGGTTTAATACTGAGAGCATAATAAATGATAGGGGGCGCTGGAGGACTACATTAGTTTGATTTTAAACCAGGGGTGGGCAACTGGCGGCCCGGGGGCCACATGCGGTCGCCCCATCAACCCTCAGCGTGGCCCCTCAGGTTAATTTTTTGTTACATATCAATTAATTGGAAACATGAAGAAAAACATGATGAAATCTGCCATGAAATCATGAAAACCAGAAATATGTCCATGATAATATTTGATCGCTGGTGTATGTTGAGTTAAATTTGAGACATAATTGACTGTAATCGTTTTTTTGTATGCTACAATTTGGCCCTCTGGCAGTGAGAATTAAATGAATGTGGCCCCTTGCTGTGAACGAAGTTGCCCATCCCTGATTTAAACTTTCCGACGTACACCGATAAAGAGAGACGTTTTTGTGAGTGTTGTCCACTTAGGTAAAATATAGCCTACCTGAATTAAATATTTTTCGGATAACACGACACATTTGTTTTAGAATGCATTCCGACATATCCTCGATAAATACAGTATCATATTATATTTTGATATTAACTCGGTGACACGATTAGTGATTATTTATTCAAATAAGGAAACCCTCAACTATTAGATTGTGGAAAAGTGTTTTTGGGGCCTGATGGGAGGTCGATGCCCAAGGGGTTTAAGTTCTTTTAGTGATTAAAGTAAGCTATATGCAATCAAATGTGAATTATAGAAACTGCTTTCATCTTATCCTTCTTTCCTTATAAGGCATATCTTATACATTCAATAGACCTAATTTTATACAGCCAATGTTGACTGTTCTGAACTGTATGGACTGAATGTTCAAACACCTGCAACATAGGTGCAGATAGACTGACTCTGGTCTGGGGCACAGATGGCGTCAAAGAAATGAATAGTGTGTTATTCACAGCCTTGGGTCTGCAGGCCAAAGTGGTCCCAACTGTAACAACACTGACATGACCTTAACTCAGACAACACTTCATCCTTCAAAGCAAGAAATTGCCTTAAATATAGGGCATAGGGTCACTTTTCTTACATATGAAAAATAGGAATCCGATTCCCATGGCAGGCATTCGTAATGATTTTCAGTTTTACTCAATCTCATTAACAGAAAACTTAATAACTCGTACAATTTAGCTGTACATTTTTTATATATCAAGGGGTTAAAACAACATACAGCTGTATATTAGCTGTATAAGACTGTAATACCTTAACAGTGAAATGGAAAAACCATGATCCTGTTTCTTATTTTTTCAGGTGAGTCCTTTTGTTCTGAATGAACAAAAGACTCAACACTTTTCTAAGTCACATGGTTTATATCATCATGCTACATTTGCATGAGGATACAACTTGACCAAAACACACAACATATGCATTTAGAGTTGTAGAATTTTGGCATCTGAGAGACAGAGAGTGTGTCACTCTGCATCCAGGCTCAGAGATGGTGAGGTAATATGGCCAAGCCCTGGATGACTGATGGATTGGAGCTCAGGTCTTGGCAGTCAGGCAGTTATTTCATCATTGACAGGCAAACTGTACAGCTGGATCCAATACCATGCATGCTGTAATCTCCTTGAATGTTATGGAATAAATGAGTCAGCCATTTGTGCCATTGCCAAGTGAAATATAAACACCGACTCTTTGTGTAACATCTGTATGAAATATTGCAACATATAAGGACACATTAAGATAAGAGACTGCAACACTCATGCAAAGCCATGAGATGGCAGCAACACTTTCTTTCTCCTGCACCTTTAGCCTTTTTTCCAAAAAAGTTGACAACATTTGACATGTATTAAATGAGTATAAATATGTTTTAATGTACAAAAGATCTATAAAATACTGGGATTATAATAAATCCCTGTAGGTTTCTTGACACCATGGGAAAGCATATGTCTATCACAGTCACCACATGGTTTATGGGAATAGAAAAATAATGGTAAATATATACTTTTACTGATTATTAAAGAAGGGTCTGACTGTCAAATGGTAAAACTGTAGCATTACTACAGAATGTTAGAAAGTTTGAAAATTCTACAATTCACTTAGCAGAATTTAAAATTGACGGACATCAGAGAGTAAGTCAGCTTACTCAGCTTGAAGTCTGATTGGACACACAGGCAGAGCACAACAAAAAAACAGTTATATCATCAGCTACAACATTTATCAACAGCTGTTCTTGAGAGTTCTAATCAGCATCAAAACCATCCTAAACATCATCATTATCAATATAATTAAGTGCGTAGGTGTTCATAACAGAGTTGTGTCTTTAGCTTTTTCTTAAAGGTGCAAAGTGACTTTGCAGATCGAATGGAGTTTGGTAGTTTGTGCCACCACTGGGGGGCGACAAAAGAGAAGACTCTAGTTAGAGACTTTGGGCCCTGTTGTGAAGGTTGGCTCTGAGTCTTCCATTGGCAGAGCATAGTGGGCGAAAGGGAGTGCAGACCTGCATAATAGAGTTTAAAGTATGTTCCTAGGGATTCAAAATTAATCTCAATTTAATTTTTATTTTGCGAGATAAGCATTTGCAACAAACACATTGCAAAAGTCTGAACAAGAAATGCGTTCTCACTCAGCTTGCTTACGTCTTACCCATTCGATTGAGAGTTGAATGGCCATGCTTTCTCACCATTTTAATGCAGTCAGAGGAAGCTCAATCAACTATCAGCTGCCCTCAGATTAATCGTTGCCAAGTAAGTGGAGTAGAAAAAAAACTGTTTTGTTTTATTTAAATGTATTTTGGACTTAAGAGAGACACCTCACAAACACAAGTTTTGAGCCAAGCATGAAAAGCATACCAACTGTGAGGTATTGCTAATTTTCACTCTTAATATTTGGTTATTGATTGCACTTTAATTTTTATGGCAATATTATTATCAAACAAAGGTTCCTTTAATCTCGCTGTAATGGAAAAGAAAAATAGCTCTTACAGAGTGCTTTTTTCCCCTTTTTAAAGATCTTCCCGTAAATCCTGAAGCTAAATTGTAGTTAGTGGCGGTTTCTACAGTTCTCATGGGATCTATTTCATAATTTTCATCCAAAGTGTATGTGGTACACAAAAATCCCTACCAAAACATTGAGTGTATTCACACGAGGCCCTCATCTGTGACCAATGCATCGTGGGTCAGATCTCTGTTTGGCTCGCACTCCGGTCTCTGAGGCCAGCCTGCATAGCCCCAAGCCCAACAATCCCAACAGACCACTATCAAGCCCATATGACGGCAATAAAATAAATCCAAACCAGATCAAGATTTGTTTTATGACCCCTTTGTGTGTGTGCCTGTGGATGAGCAATGGTTAAGCAAACTCTTGACTCACAAAGAAAATATTGACATGTCAGCCTCGGTTCTGTCTGTCTGAAATTGTGTGTTTTCTTTATGTCTATGTGAAAAGAAACAGAAAGGAAAGGAGTACGTTTAAAGGCTGAGTGTCAAAACAGAAGAATGTAAACTTTATTTTCTTCTCATTATACATCACATA